CTAACCCTAACCCTAACCCTAACCCTAACCCTAACCCTAACCCTAACCCTAAACCTAACCCAAACCCTATCCTTTCCATAACCCTATCCATACCCATAAACCTAACCCTAACCCTAACCATAACCCTAACCCTAACCCTAACCATATCCTCATCCATAACCCTAACCCTAACCCTAACCCTAACTCTGTCCTAATCCATAACCCTAACCCTAACCCTAACTCTAACCCTATCCACATCAATAACCCTAACCCTAACCCTAACCCTAACCCTATCCTTTCCATAACCCTAACCCTATCTTTACCCATAACCCTAACCCTAACCCTAACCCTAACCTTATCCATAGCCTTAACCCTAACCCTAACCCTATCCTCATCCATAACCATAACCCTAACCCTAACCCTAACCCTATCCTTTCCATAACCCTAACCCTATCCTCATCCATAACCCTAACCCTAACCCATCCATAACCATAACCCTAACCCTAACCCTAACCCTATCCTTTCCATAACACTAATCCTATCCTCATCCATAACCCTAACCCTAACCCTAACCCTAACCCTAACCCTAACCCTAACCCTAACCCTAACCTTATCCATAACCCTAACCCTAAGCCTAACCCTAACCCTATCCTCATCCATAACCCTAATCCTAACCCTAACCCTATCCTCATTCATAACCCTAACCCTAACCCTAACCCTATCCTTTCCATAACCCTAACCCTAACCCTAACCCTAACCATATCCTCATTGATAACCCTAACCCTAACCCTAACCATATCCTCATCCATAACCCTAACCCTAACCCTAACCCTAACCCTAACCTTATCCATAGCCTTAACCCTAACCCTAACCCTATCCTTACCCATAACCCTAACCCTAACCCTAACCCTAAGCCCTAACCCTTTCCTCATCCAAAACCCTAACCCTAACCCTATCCTTTCCATAACCCTAACCCTATCCTTACCCATAACCCTAACCCTAACCATATCCTCATCCATAACCCTAACCCTAACCCTAACCTTATCCATAGCCTTAACCCTAACCCTAACACTAACCCTAACCCTATCCTTTCATAACCCGAACCCTATCCTTTCCATAACCCTAACCCTAACCCTATCCTTTCCATTACCCTAATCCTAACCCTAACCCTAACCCTATCCTTTCCATTACCCTAATCCTAACCCTAACACTATCCTCATCCATAACCCTAACCCTAACCCTAACCCTATCCTCATCCATAACCCTAACCCTAACCGTAACCCTATCCTTTCCATAACCCTAACAATAACCCTAACTCTATCCTCATCCATAACCCTAACCCTAACCCTAACCCTATCCTCATCCATAACCCTAACCCTAACCCTAACCCTAACCCTAACCCTAAACTTATCCATAGCCTTAACCCTAACCCTAACCCTAACCCTAACCCTAACCCTAACCCTAACAATAACCCTAACTCTATCCTCATCCATAACCCTAACCCTAACCCTAACCCTATCCTCATCCATAACCCTAACCCTAACCCTATCCTTTCCATAACCCTAACCCTATCCTTACCCATAACCCTAACCCTAACCCTAATCCATAAACGTAACCCTAACCCTTTCCATAACCCTAACCATATCCTTTCCATAACCCTAACCCTAACCCTATCCTCATCCATAACCCTAACCCTAACCCTAACCCTAACCCTATCCTTTCCATAACCCTAACCCTAACCCATCCATAACCATAACCCTAACCCTAACCCTATCCATAACCCTAACCCTAACCCTAAGCCTAACCCTATCCTCATCCATAACCCTAATCCTAACCCTAACCCTATCCTCATTCATAACCCTAACCCTAACCCTAACCCTAACCCTAACCCTATCCTTTCCATAACCCTAACCCTATCCTTACCCATAACCCTAACCCTAACCCTAACCCTATCCTCATACATAACCCTAACCCTAACCCTATCCTCATCCATAACCATAAACCTAACCCTAACCCTATCCTTTCCATAACCCTAACCCTATCCTTACCCATAACCCTAACCCTAACCCTAATCCATAAACGTAACCCTAACCCTTTCCATAACCCTAACCATATCCTTTCCATAACCCTAACCCTAACCCTATCCTCATCCATAACCCTAACCCTAACCCTAACCCTAACCCTATCCTTTCCATAACCCTAACCCTAACCCATCCATAACCATAACCCTAACCCTAACCCTATCCATAACCCTAACCCTAACCCTAAGCCTAACCCTATCCTCATCCATAACCCTAATCCTAACCCTAACCCTATCCTCATTCATAACCCTAACCCTAACCCTAACCCTAACCCTAACCCTATCCTTTCCATAACCCTAACCCTATCCTTACCCATAACCCTAACCCTAACCCTAACCCTATCCTCATACATAACCCTAACCCTAACCCTATCCTCATCCATAACCATAAACCTAACCCTAACCCTATCCTTTCCATAACCCTAACCCTATTCTTACCCATAACCCTAACCCTAACCCTAACCATATCCTCATTGATAACCCTAACCCTAACCCTAACCATATCCTCATCCATAACCCTAACCCTAACCCTAACCCTAACCTTATCCATAGCCTTAACCCTAACCCTAACCCTATCCTTACCCATAACCCTAACCCTAACCCTAACCCTAACCCTAACCCTAAGCCCTAACCCTATCCTCATCCAAAACCCTAACCCTATCCTTTCCATAACCCTAACCCTAACCCTATCCTCATCCAAAACCCTAACCCTAACCTTATCCTTACCCATAACCCTAACCCTAACCATATCCTCATCCATAACCCTAACCCTAACCCTAACCCTAACCTTATCCATAGCCTTAACCCTAACCCTAACACTAACCCTAACCCTATCCTTTCATAACCCGAACCCTATCCTTTCCATAACCCTAACCCTAACCCTATCCTTTCCATTACCCTAATCCTAATCTTATCCATAGCCCTAACCCTAACCCTAACCCTAACCCTAACCCTATCCTTTCCATAACCCTAACCCTAATCCTAACCCTATTCATATCCCTAATCCTATCCTTATCCATAGCCCTAACCCTAACCCTATCCTTACCCATAACCCTAACCCTAACCCTATCCTTATCCATAGCCCTAACCCTAACCTTATCCCTAACCCTAACCCTAACCCTAACCCCATCTCCCTCCTCCACTCACCTGGCACCTGCCCTCCCCGCAGCCCCTCTAGGCCGTCCTGCCTCCTGCCTCCCTCCCCTGAGGCCACCCTCGCAGCTCCTCGCCGGCCGGTTGTGTGGAGTTCTCGTCGCCCCATGCCCTCTGCCCTCCGCCCGCGCCTATCACCCATGCCCTCAGGTCCTCGGACCCCGCCCCCCAGCAGCTTGGCGGGATTTTTTTTTACTTTTTTGCAAGTTTTATTTTAATCCAAGGACTTTGCTTCATACAAAATGTCGATGTAGAAACAACAGCAGAATCCAAAGTGGGGCTGACAAAGACCACGCAAGCAGCAGACAGTCAACCACGAATCCTAAAGCCCGCGGGTTGTGTGGGCGACTCACGTGTTTTCGAACACTGTTCTTAAATATAAAGTTTTGCAACAAACCTTTGATTTATATCAAATATAATTAAAAATTAACAAATGATTACGTTGTATCAAAAAGTACGAAGATATACCTTGTCATGCATATGCTTGCATATGGTATGTATGTATATATCCTACATGCACACGCAACGTGTTCGACCACAGCCTCGCGCCCCGGGCCCGGGCACACAACGGGTTGACGCAGCTCAAATTTGGCAACTCACTGAGGTTTCGGGGTGCGGGCTGAGCCCGACCCCGCCGTGGGGACGACACGCTGCACCCCGTGGCCCCGCCGTGGCCGCCGACGCGTGTCCGCAGAATCCAGGCGGCGGCGGAGACCGAGGCGCCCGGGCTCAGGTGGCGGGGATGCCGCGCCGAAGGGCCCGTGCCGGCGGGAAGGAGTCAGGGCTGGTCTCAGGGGCTGAGACCCACAGCAGGGCGGTCGTGTGGATCCCTAGACGTGTGTCTGGTTGCATAGCCCTATGGGAACGGCATCCACTCCCGTGACGCCCACGCGCACCGCCGGAGAACCGGGGCCACGCCCACGGCACGCCCGGCCGAGGCCGTGACGGTCCCGGACACGGACCGTGCGTCTGTCCCCGCCCTGCCTCGCGGACCCCGTCCCCGGGTGAGGCTGGGAGGCGTCACTGCCCATGCGGTCGGGCGGGCTCCGTGCCTCCTGCCCGAGTCTTCCGGCCGCAGCTCTGCGCCCTCCCGCCCGCCCACTCACTGGCCGTGAAAATCCACCTCCACGGCCGCAGCCAGCGGGCAGGCCCGCCCCTGAGGATGGGCGTGGACCGGACGGGCGCCCCAGCCCCGCTCCAGCGCTTGCTTCCCGGACCGCCCCTGCGGGGAGACGGACAGGCCAACGCCGTCTGGCCCCCGGCCCCCGGCCCCACGGCAGCTTCCCAACTCGCTGCCCGCCTCGCTCCCCGGGGCCGGCCTGGGAGCGGGTCAGGCACTTGGTCGTGGCCCCGGGCGGGGTAGTGCGGCCGCTCCGCTGCCGCCGCCGCTGCTCCTGGGCCGGCGGACCGACGGGCGGGCGCTGTCCGCGCCCAGGCGTGTCCCTCTCAGGCGACGGCCCGACAGGAAGTCCACTCGGCGCCCTCGGTGCCCTGGGCGACCTGCCCGCGCCCCCTGCATTGAGGTGACCTGCAGGCGTGAAGGCTGCTCCCCGAGACCAGGCCTGCCCGGCGGCAGCACCGAGCGGGTCCCTCCGCGGAGGCGGACGCGCGGCCCCTGCTCACACAGCCACCCCTGGGCCGCGGGGGCAGCCCCAGCGGAGGAAGGGCTTGGGGTCCGTCCAGGAGGGGGTGGGCAGCAGCCCCTGCTGGTCCCGGCGGCCGCTGCCTGGTCCCGGGCCGGGCCGGGCCGGGCCGGGGGATGATAAAACTCATCGGCCGCGCGGGCGGACTAGCACCAGTGGTCTTGGTCCGGGTGGTGGTAGCTGTGGCGGGCGCGGCTGCCCGTGCCCAGGCCCAGCGAGCAGTGGTAGCCGTTGGGCACGCGGCGCAGCGGGTGCGACTGGGAGGTCAGGGAGGACACGTAGGAGGTCCGCGAGGAGCGGCCCGAGTTGGTGGCCACGGCCTCCTCGAAGGTGAGCACGTCCTCGGGCGGCGGGGCCTCGGCCTCCAGGCGCTGCGCCAGGTACGGGTCCGAGCCGATGCGCGCGCTGGGGGCCAGCGGCGGGCCCAGGGGGTCCCTCTGGAGCAGGGCGTTGTGTTCCGAGAGGCCGCGGCTGAGCCGGCCCGGCGAGAAGGGGGGGCCGCCCTGGGCCCCGGCGAAGTGCACGGGCGAGGAGTGGGCCGTCTTGTAGGTGACGCTGGGCCGGGGGGTCAGCGGCGTCTGGGGGAGCTGCCTCCGCCCGCCGCGCCCGGGGGTGCTAGCACCAGATGTGGACAGCAGGGGGCTCCCGTCCACAGAACCGCTGCCCTGCAGGAGCACAGCCCGTCAGACACGCAAGGGCACAGAGGTGGGGGGAAGGAGGGGGAGAGACAGAGGGGCCAGCTGGGCCTGGACGGGTCAGGGGAGGCGGTGAGGGGGGGGAGATGAGGGGGCTGAGGGGGGTCAGTGAGTGAGGGGGGTGAGGGGGGGTGTGGGGGTGAGGGAGGCGAGGGGGCGAGGGGGGTGAGGGGTGAGGGGGTGAGGGGGGGTGTGGGGGTGAGGGAGGCGAGGGGGCGAGGGGGGTGAGGGGTGAGGGGGTGAGGGGGTGGGGGGTGGGGGGTGAGGGGGTGGGGGGGTGAGGGGGGTGAGGGGGCGAAGGGGGTGAGGGGGTGAAGGGGTTAGGGGGGTGAGGGGGGCGAGGGGCTGAGGGAGGTGAGGGGGGTGAGGGGGTGAGGGGGTGAGGGGGTGAGGGGGTGAGGGAGGTGAGGGGGGTGAGGGGGTGAGAGGGTGAGGAGGGTGAGGGGGGTGAGGGGGTGAGAGGGGTAAGGGGGTGAGGGGTGAGGGGGTGAGGGGGTGAGGGAGGTGAGGGGGGTGAGGGGGTGAAGGGATGAGGGGGGTGAGGGGGTGAGGGGTGAGGGGTCAGGGGTGAGGCGGGTGAGGGGGTGAGGGGTGAGGGGGTGAGGGGTGAGGGGGTGAGGGGGTGAGGGGGGTGAGGAGGTGAGGGGTGAGGGGTGAGGGGTGAGGGGGGTGAGGGGGTGAGGAGGTGAGGGGTGAGGGGGTGAGGGGTGAGGGGGGTGAGGAGGTGAGGGGTGAGGGGTGAGGGGGTGAGGGGGTGGAGGGGAAGGGGGTGAGGGGGAGAGGGGGTGAGGGGGTGATGGGTGAGGGGTAAGGGGGTGAAGGGGGTGAAGGGGGTGAAGGGGGTGAAGGGGGTGAGGGGGGTGAGGGGTGAGGGGGTGAGGGGGTGAGGGGTTGGTGGGTGAGGGGGGTGAGGGGTGAGGGGTTGAGGGGGTGAGGGGGGTGAGGGGTGAGGGGGGTGAGGGGGTGAGGAGGTGAGGGGTGAGGGGGTGAGGGGGTGAGGGGGTGAGGGGGTGAGGGGTTGGTGGGTGAGGGGGGTGAGGGGTGAGGGGGGTGAGGGGTGAGGGGTGAGGGGTGAGGGGGTGAGGGGGTGGAGGGGAAGGGGGTGAGGGGGAGAGGGGGTGAGGGGGTGATGGGTGAGGGGTAAGGGGGTGAAGGGGGTGAAGGGGGTGAAGGGGGTGAGGGGGGTGAGGGGTGAGGGGGTGAGGGGTTGGTGGGTGAGGGGGGTGAGGGGTGAGGGGTTGAGGGGGTGAGGGGGGTGAGGGGTGAGGGGTGAGGGGGGTGAGGGGTGAGGGGGTGAGGGGGTGAGGGGTTGGTGGGTGAGGGGGGTGAGGGGTGAGGGGGTGAGGGAGTGAGGGGGGTAAGGGGGTGAGGGGGTGAGGGGTGAGGGGGACCGAGGCCGGAGCAGAGGCTGGGCTGTACCTGTCTCGGGGGGCCTGGCTCCGGCCCAGCCGTGGGCGACGTGGGGTGGCTGCTGAGGGCGGGCCTGGGCAGCGGGGGCTCCCGGCCCCCGAAGCGGTCGCAGGAGTAGAAGCGCTGCTTCTCGGAGGAGGAGGAGGAGGGCTGCCTGCGCTCCTGGGACCGGCCCCGCTCCTGCCTGCGCTCCCGCCGGCCCGGGGGCCCCTCTCCGGGGGGCGGGCCTGGCCCCGCGGAGCTGCTGGGGGCTGCGGGGACAGGAGCCGTCACCGCCGAGCCGGCCCACACCGGACCCGTGCCCAGGGCGGTGGTGGAGCCACAGGCACAGGAATTTAGGGTCCCCTACGGGCCGTCAGACCCCCAGGGCGCCGCCCCCACCCAGGAGCCCCGTACGCACCGCCATTGGCGTCCGCGGACAGGCTGGGCCCCTTCTCCAGGGACTTCTGCTTCCGGTCCCTGCGCCGATGGCAGCGGTGGTGGTGGTGGGGGGCGGCCTGGCTGGCGGGGGCGCGCTCCAGGGCGGCAGTGCAGAGATGGGCCACGTGGGGGCGCTGGGGCGCCAGCGTGGAGATGGAGCGCTTCATGGGGCTGGCGTCGGAGGCTGGCTGTGCGCGGGCGCGGACACGGGCAGGTGAGGGGGGCACACGGCCGGCCTCCCGCTCCGTCCCCAGCGCCCCTGCAGCCACGTCCAGTGAGAGGCCAGGCCGAGCCCCGCCTCCGGGGCTCAGACACTGAGGGGAGCGGACGGAGGGGGACCCTGACTTTCTGAGGGAGGTGGGTTGGGTGGAGGGGGTCCCAGAGGAGGAAAGCCGGGCAGGAGGCTGTGCCCACAGCTGGGGGTGGGACGCCTGGCCGCAATTCGAGGCAGCAGGGCACTGGGGCGCCCACGGGCCTGACAGGGTCCAGGACAGAGCGGGCAGCAGAGCCAGCCCCTCCGCCCTCCAGGCCCCTCACTCCCGCCCTCCCCCCAGCAGAACCCCCAGGCCACCCACCTGCGTCTCCGCGGCCAGGCGAGGCATGGAGGCTGCGCGCCCCTGGCTCTCCAGCCCGGGCTGGGGCTCCCCGTCAGCGCCTCTCAGGGCCATGCTCTGCATCTGGACATCCACAGCCTGGGCACAGCAGCCCCAGTCACACCCCTCTCTCCCATCTCCATCCCATCTCCCCTCCCCCATCCCCATCTCCTCTCCTCTCCTCCATCCCTATCTCCCTCCCCTATCCCAATGCCATCTCCCCTCTGCCACCCCATCCCATCTCCCCTCTGCCACCCCATCCCATCTCCCCTCCCCTTCCCCATTTCCACCCCCCTCGTCTCCCCCATTCCCATCCCATGCCATCCCCGTCCCCTCCTCACCGGCTTTACCGGCTGCACCACTGGGATCTCTGTCGAGTGGCCTCGCTCCAGGGGCGCCCTGGCCTCGTGTGGCACCTCCTGGGTCCTCTGGGTGCCCCAGGAAACAGACTCCCTGAGGCCGCCCTCTGGGGTTTGTCTGTGGAGAGGCTGTCCGTCAGCTCCACAGCAGCTGGGCCCGTGGCCAGGCAGCTCCCCGGGGGGAGGGAGCCCGGGGGCGTGTGCCAGGGGGGCAGCGGGAGACAGACCCCCAGGTGGATCGCAGACGGGAAGCCTGAGCCCCGCCCCGAAGGAGCTGGCTGGGCCTCTGTCCCGAAAGCCGCCAGGCTGGCCCTCAACTCCCCCCAACCTGGCAGATGCCACTCGGCCAAAGCTTCCTGAGTAACAGTCCACAGCCCGGAGCCGACTTCAGAGAAGGTGAGAAGGGGAGGAGAGGAGGAACCAGGAAGGACCAGGAGCCTCCACCACCCCAGACAGCGGGGGACAGGCCCGGCTCGGCCCTGCTGGGTGCAGTGACGGGCGCTTGTAGGGGGCTGGCCGGGCGAACCCTGCCTGGCTGAAGCCTCCCTGGCCCCCGGCTGGGGGTGCCTTGGCGAGTCACGTGACACACAAGGGCCTGGCAATGTGTCTGCCGAGCACAGCTGGTTCGGAGGCCCCGGAGGACCACGGTCTCACGGCCGCCGAGGGAAGAGGGACAGTCAGTTCTGACATATGCAGGCCCAGGGCTCCGGCCTCGCCCGCAGAGAAGCGGGCACTGAGGAGGGCGGCTGGACTGTGAGCATCGCAGCCAGTCTCTGGCCCTGGAGGCCTCCGGGGAGAGCTCAGCACGGAAACCACCTGGACCAGGAGGTCCGTGTGCAGGTGAGCACAGGGCCACCTGCAGAGCTCAGAGGGGCCTGAGGACCCCTGTCCTGGGTGCTGCTGGGAGCCCCTCAGAGCAGGGGGTCAAGGAACTAGAGTCCTGCTTTCTCCACACCATCAATGAACCCCCCCGGGCTCCGCCCAGCCCCACAGGCCCCGCCCAGGACTCACAGGCCCTGCCCAAGACTCACATGGCCCCGCCCAGGCCCACAGGCCCCGCCCAGGCCCACAGGCTCCGCCCAGGACTCACAGGCTCCACCCAGGGCTCACACGGCCCCGCCCAGCCCCACAGGCCCCGCCCAGGACTCACAGGCCCTGCCTAAGACTCACATGGCCCCGCCCAGGCCCAAGGGCCCGCCCAGGACTCACAAGGCTCTAGGCCCACAGGCCCCACCCAGGACTCACAGGCCCTGCCCAGGACTCACATGGCCCCGCCCAGGCCCACAGGCCCCGCCCAGAACTCACAGGCTCCGCCCAGAACTCACATGGCCTCGCCCAGGCCCACAGGCCCCGCCCAGCTCCACAGGCCACGCCCAGGACTCACACGGCCCCGCCCAGGCCCAAGGCCCCGCCCAGGACTCACACGGCCCCGCCGTTGCTGAGGGAGGCTGAGCTCTTCTGCTGGAGAAACACGCGGGCCCCTCGGAGCACGGCGGGCTGCGTCTGCTCCAGCGTGGCCTTCAGCGGGTGGAACAGGGACCCGGGGCCCATCTGCGGAAGGACGCGGGAAGAGAGCTCGGAGGGCTGGGTCCGAGCGGCGGGGCAGGCTCCTCCTGTGGGCGCAGCCTGCCTGCCCGCCCAGCCTGACACCAACACTGCCACTGCCACTGCGGTGGGCAGGGCCTGCTTCCCCTGGTCTGTGCAGGGCCTCAGGGCAGTGACTCCCTGGGGCCACACCCACAGCGCTGGGGCTGGCTGATCCCAAACAGCAAGAGCTCCCCTCGTCATCCCCTCTGGGTGCCGGCAGAGGCAGCTGGAGCCCGAGATGTCAGGGTGGGGCGGGGCGGTGTCTGCACAGACGGGGGTGGGGGGCTGGGGCGGGGCGGCGGCCACCTCTCACTGTTCCAGACAGAGCGCCTGCGTGTGCCCAGGGCGGGCGTGGGGATGGCCAGCTCAGCCTGCGCTGCCCCCAGTGGAGCCAACGGGGAGCCTGGGGCCCTGGTCAGTCCTCCGGTCCCTGCAGTGTCCAGGGAGCGCGAGTCCTTGCTCCTCCCAGAACCACCTCAAGGTCCTTGGGGACATTTCTCCCCTTGGGGACATTCAACCGCTCCCGCCCCGCACTGGGCCCTGAACTCAGCACCCAGGTCAGGTCAGGTCAGGTCAGGGGCTCCGCGGGGGCAGTGGCACCCGCTACAGGGGCGTGTCCATGCCGTCAGCTCTCCCCGGCCCCTCCGCCGGCCATGGCTGCCTCCGGAGCAGCCGTACCTGGGACAGGCCGGGCGCGGGGTGGGTCTGGTCCCGGCTGGTCTTGCTCTGCTTGTAGAAGTCGAAGATCATCAGGGCCGCGTACACCTTGCCCACGGTCATCTCGTCGGCTGGGGACACGCGGGGAGACAGGCTGGGCTCCCGGGCCGGACGGACAGACCCCACCCGGGACCACTGGGCACGCGCAGGCAGGGCACGTGCTTTGCCCAAGGGCCCCCACTCGCAGTGCCAGCAGACACCACCCCCCGACCCGAGGCCCTGCTTCCTCAGCCCACGCCGGTCCAGTGTCTCCGGGGGCGGACCTGGCGCTCGCTCTGGCTGTGAAGTGGATTCCCGCCCTAGGCCAGGGGCGGCCTCAGCCCGTCACCTCCTCCCACAATCCCGGGCACACGCAGGCAGCGGGGTCCCTGCGCGGCACTGAGCCCAGGCTACGGGGAAGCGCCCCCTCCCGCGGTCCCTGCTGCCTCTGGGGTCGGAGGTCGCGCCCGAACTCACGTCTGTGGGGCGGCACCAGCAAGTCCAAGGTCTTCTGGGGCAGGTTGGCCCACACTGAGGCGATCTCCTTGCGCAGCGCTGCGTCACACTGGTGCTGCTTCGTGCCAGCTGGGCAGCGGGGGAGGGGTTAGGAGCCGCCCTGCAGCCCCGGGGGAAGGCAGAGCTGGGGGGCCGGGCAGGGAGGGTGCTGGGAGGGAGGCCGGTCAGAGCTGCCCCTGCAGGAACTCCTGTGTGTGTGTGTGGGGGGGTGTGTTTGTGTGTGTGGGGTGTGTATGTGCGTAGGGTGTGTGTGTGTGTGTGTGGTGTGTGTGTGTGTGGTGTGTGTGTGTGTGGGGTGTGTGTGTGTGTGGTGTGTGTGTGTGTGTGTGGTGTGTGTGTGTGGGGTGTGTGGGGTGTGTGTGGTGTGTGTGTGTGGGGGTGTGTGTGGTGTGTGTGTGTGGGGTGTGTGTGTGTGTGGTGTGTGTGGGGTGTGTGGTGTGTGTGGGGTGTGTGTGTGTGTGTGTGTGGGGGGGGGGGATGTGTGTGTGGGGTGTGTGTGTGTGTGGGGTGTGTGTTTGTGTGTGTGTGTGTGTGTGGTGTGTGTGGGGTGTGTGTGGTGTGTGTGTGTGGGGGGTGTGTTTGTGTGTGTGTGTGGAGTGTGTGTGTGTGTGGTGTGTGTGTGTGGGATGTGTGTGTGTGTGTGTGTGTGTGTGTGTGTGGTGTGTGTGTGGTGTGTGTGTGTGTGGGGTGTGTTTGTGTGTGTGTGTGGAGTGTGTGTGTGTGTGGTGTGTGTGTGGTGTGTGTGTGTGTGGGGTGTGTTTGTGTGTGGGGGGTGTGTGTGGGGTGTGTGTGTGTGTGTGTGTGGGGTGTGTGTGTGTGTGTGTGTGTGTGGTGTGTGTGGGGAGGATGTGTGTGTGGGGTGTGTGTGTGTGTGTGTGTGGGGTGTGTGTGTGTGTGTGTGTGTGTGGTGTGTGTGGGGAGGATGTGTGTGTGGGGTGTGTGTGTGTGTGGGGTGTGTGTGTGTGTGTGTGTGGTGTGTGTGGGGAGGATGTGTGTGTGGGATGTGTGTGTGTGGTGTGTGGTGTGTGTGTGTGGGGGGTGTTTGTGTGTGTGTGTGTGTGTGGTGTGTGTGGGGAGGATGTGTGTGTGGGGTGTGTGTGTGTGTGGGGTGTGTGTGTGTGTGTGTGTGGTGTGTGTGGGGAGGATGTGTGTGTGGGATGTGTGTGTGTGGTGTGTGGTGTGTGTGTGTGGGGGGTGTTTGTGTGTGTGTGTGTGTGTGGTGTGTGTGGGGAGGATGTGTGTGTGGGGTGTGTGTGTGTGTGGGGTGTGTGTGTGTGTGTGTGTGGTGTGTGTGGGGAGGATGTGTGTGTGGGATGTGTGTGTGTGGTGTGTGGTGTGTGTGTGTGGGGGGTGTTTGTGTGTGTGTGTGTGTGTGGTGTGTGTGGGGTGTGTGTGTGTGTGGTGTGTGTGTGTGGTGTGTGGTGTGTGTGGTAGTGGCCTGGGGGCAGAGGTGGCCACACGGAGGGGTGAGGAGGGTGGGAGGTGCCGCTGGGCGGGTGGTGGGAGAGGCATCAGAGAAGGCAGCCTGTGCGCTGAGACCCGGAGGCGGGCAGCCCCGCTGGGGGGCCGCCCAGGAGCCTGGAGGGCACCGCTGAGCGGAGAGAGGCCGAGGCTGAGGTGAGAGCAGGGGATGAAATGTGCCGTCTGCCTTTGACAGCTCGTTTATTTTATTTTAAACACATTTTTATTGGTTTCTGAGAGGAGGGGAGAGGGAGGGAGAGAAACAGCCGACCTCGGCGCCCCCGCAGGCCGCGGCCCCTGCACACCTGCCGGGGGCTCACCTGGGGCCAGCTTGATCTCCAGCGCCGTGCGGATGAGGGCCATCAGCGTGGACGTGAAGTGGACGGTCATGTCCTCGCTGGAGATGGGCATGTTCATGCGGACCAGGCGCTGGGGACGGGGGGCAGGTCAGGGCCAGGCTTGCCGGGTGCCCCCTGAGCACTCAGTGCGGAGGCCCCTGGCGGTGAGCCCTGCCGTGCCCGGGGCGAGAGGAGGCTGGGACACGGGACCTGCCAGCATCCCCGTCCCCGTCCCGCCCGCCCGGAGCTGAGCACTCTCCGGCAGAGCAGAAGACGGCAGTGAATTGCCCAGAGCTGGAGGCCGGGCTCATCCGGCCAACAAGCCCCCTCAGCCTCCGGTCCCTGCCCGCCCCTGCCTGACGGGGAGGGGGGGTGCAGGACCAAGGCTGCTCCTGGGACCACTCAGGGACAGGAGGCAGATCCCTGACTTCTCCTGGCCCCACACACAGCCTGGCGCTCCGAGCAGGCCTGGGCGGCCCCAGCACTGCCCAGCGTCCTGGCCCCAAATGGAAGCCTCAGCCTGGAGGGTGGGAGGCCAAGGCCCAAACCTGCCCCCGCCCCTTCCCCCTCCCCCCCCCAATGCTGGCAAAGCCCGGGCACCCGCTCCCCTCCCACCCGTGGTCAGGCGGCCCTGGGACAGCACCGGTGGGGAGAGGCAGAGGGGCCCTCTCCAGGGACCAGGGACGGGAGGGGCAGAGCAGGGGTCCCAAGAGGGGGGCTCTGTCCAGGGCACCCACCCTGGAGGTGAGGGGCAGGAGCAGCAGAGGAGCGAGGCTGGAGGGAGACAGGCAGCTGGCTTCCTGCCCTGGCCTGGCCCCTGTGCGCCCCCTGCCGCCTCCCCAGCCCCCACGCCGTTAGCCTGGGCATGAACCCCGCCCGCCGGCGCCCTGGCCCTCCACACCGTCAGCCTGGGCATGAACCCCGCCCGCCGGGTGCCCTGGCCCTCCACGCCATCAGCCGGGCGTGGCCGGCCCAGGGGAGGGCTCCAAGGCCCCGTCAGGCCTGTGGCTGCCCTGGCCCTGGTGCCGCTGGACAGAGTTCCCTCTCGGGAACAAAGCCAGCGTCTCGCATGCAGGGCCTGCAGCTGGCGTGACACTCATACCAGGACGGGGGTGGGGGTGGGGAGGTGAGAGGAGCCGCTGAACCAGGGGACAGACAGGCCTGGGACCAGAGCACAGAGACGACAGATAGAGGAAGGCTGGCTCAGAGGAAGGGGGTGGCTGTGCGGGGCGGGGCTGGAGGAGCAGCAGGGGGATAGGTGCCTGGCAGTGGGACCAGGCTCTGAGCGGGCGAGGAGGTAAGGAGGGGAGCCTGGAGGGGTCTCTCAGCCCCCCTCCTGCAGCTCAGCATCCTCAGCAATGAGGGGGGGGCACAGGACCCTATGCCCGAGGCTGTGCTCCCTGCAGTCAGTCCCAGGACGCCTGGCGCCCTTGAGGCCCTGCAGTGAGGCCTGGACATCCGGGGGCCCCCCTCCCTCTAGGGGCAGGGAGGGCAGGGGAGCCAGGGACAGCTCTGGGTACCGGGGGAGGTGCCGCTCTGGGAAGGAGGGGAGATGGCTGGGTAGAGGAAGACAGTGAGACAGCAGTGGCAGACAGACAGGCAGACAGACAGGCAGACGAGCCCGAGGAGGGAGCAGGCGGTACCTTGTACGCCACGCGGGCGGGGCACCGCTTGCCCAGCCCCAGGGGCGGGGGCATGTGCTTCAGCATCTCAAACATGTCGCTGTACGTGATGCGCCCGCTGCGCCGGCCCGAGGTCCACAGGAGGGGGCGGGGAGGAAGCAGAGAGTGCAGAACCATTAACCGGGTCCGAGTGGTGTCAGCTGGTCCCAAGGAGGGTCTCCTCCGTCGAGCCCCCGTGCCCCAGCCCCACCTCCACGCTGTGCCCCACGCAGGGCGCCGTGGCCTCTGAGCTAATGAGGTGGAGGGTGAGGAAGGCGCACGGGGAGGCTGTGGGTGGTCAGGACGGACCTCACACTTTTAGGAACCACGGACCACGCGGATCAGAACAGTTTCACGGCCCAGCGTCCCTGAACGCTTGGTTTGCTGCCAAGTCAGCCGGGAGCCCACGGCGTGGGAAAACCTAGAGCAGCAGGCCGCCCAGCGGGCGCTGTCCTGCAGGTCAAACGGCCGGTAAGCTGTGGCCTGGACCCTGGGCCCTCCTGACGCTGGGCCAGGGACGGGGACCAGCATCTGGAGTCCATGACATCTTCCCCGGTGGCTGCCTGCCGCAGGGCCTGTGGGTCTGGGCGCAGGCAGCTCAGGCACAGGAGGGGGCAGCCTTCCCGAGCAGGTCCTCGCGGCCCTCTGCCCACTCCGGGACGGAGCCTGGGGGTGGCTTTCCCAGAGGAGCGGGGCCGGGCCGTTCCTCTGATGGCAGCCCCCCTCAGTGAGGAGAGGACAGGCTCCAGGCCACACTCCGGAGGCAGGACGGGCACCGGCTGGGCCCCCAGGGCCTGCCCAGACAGGAAGGGGCCTCACTGTGCGGGGCTCGGGGCTTGGCGGGGGGCGGGGGATTTGATGGGGGGCCTGTGGGGAGAGCTCCCCGGGCACAGCCTATGCTGAGCTTCCAGGGACATACAGGCGGGCGGAGCCTGTGCTCCTGTGAGGACCAGGGCCTCTGGGATGGCCACGGAGACAGAGGGGCAGCGACGGGGATGGGGAGGGGCAGCGAGGGGAACGGGGAGGGGCACAGGAGGGCATGCAGGCTCTGCTAGCCTGTGGGGAGGTCACGCCGTGGGGGAGGTCACGCTGTGGGGGAGGTCACGCCGTGGGGGAGGTCACGCCGTGGGGGAGGGCGCCGTGGTGGGGGGCGCCCTAGGGGAGGGCGCCGTGGGGTGAGTGCTGTGGGGCGGGCGCCGTGGGCGGACAGGGCTCTCCGGAAAACGGGGCCTCAGACCACCTCTGACCCGGGTGGGCCCTTCCTGAGAGCCTGGCTCCGCCTGGAAACACAGCCCCAGGGCCGCTCCTGCAGCCGCCCGGGGCCAGTCCTGGGGCCAGAGCCGGCTGCAGAAGGTGCCCCAGGGACGGCCAGCATTTCTGCCCCGGAGCCTCGGAGTCCCAGGAGGACCAGGAAGCCTGAGGACCCTGCTGTCCCACCACCGCCCGGGCCTGCACCCCCTCTCCCCCTCCGCCCCGAGGCAACGCGCCCTTCAGGGCTGGGCTGGGGCTCAGGGCTCGGAGGGCCCCTGGGCCTGGGGAGCCGCCTCCGCACAGGGAGGCCGGAGGGAGCCGCCCGGGACGGAGACCCGCGCATCCATGTGGTCAGGAGCCCCGGGCCCACCTCCGAGGGGACGTCCCCTCAGAACGTGCCTGAGCCCCACCCTGTCCTGGCCCTGAGGCGGGCGCTCACCAGGCCGCAGGGTCGTACTCGGCCCAGACCCGGATGAACTCGTCCAGGTGGTGCGGGCCTAGGATGGAGGAGTCCCGCGTGAGGTACTCAAAATTGTCCATGATCACAGCCACGAAGAGGTTCAGCATCTGCGGGCGGAGGAGAGAGCGACACGGAGAGACTCAGCTGCACCCCCCCCCCCCGTCCTCCCCTCCAGCCATCCAGACCTCCTTCCCCACGGCCTGGCCCCGCACCGCCACCCCGGGCCCCGCACCCCCCCTGGGACCCCTGAGCTCCTTCTAGGGCCCCCCGCATCCCTCCCCAGGGGCCCTGCCCCCCAACTGGAGGTTTCTTACACTGCCACCCTCACGGACCCCGCACCCCCCCCTGGGGTCCCCACACCGCCACCCCCATGGCCCCTGCACCCCCCTGGGGTCCCCACACCGCCACCCCCATGGCCCCCGCAACCCCCCCTGGGGTCCCCACACCGCCACCCCATGGTCCCCGCAACCCCCCCTGGGGTCCCCACACTGCCACCCCATGGCCCCCGCAACCTCCCCTGGGGTCCCCACACCGCCACCCTGGGGCCCCACACCACCCCTGGGACCCCTGAGCTCCTCCTAGGGCCCCCGCATCCCCCCCCCCCCCCCAGGGCCCTGCACTCCTCCTGGAGGCCCCCACATCCCACCAGCAGCAGCGGCAGCCTCAGGCTCAGGCCTGACACTAACCATAGTTAGTCCTGATTCCAAACCCCCGTCCTAACTCAGGCCCCACCATCTCAGGCCCACGACCCGTCCTGCCATCCAGGTCACGCCCCGCCCACCCTCACGCCTCGGAGCTGGCCTTCAGGAGGCCGAGAGCTCGGGGTCTTTTTAAAAATATATATTTTTTTATTGATGTCAGAGAGGAAGGGAGAGGCAGAGAGAAGCATCAGTGATGAGAGAGAATCATTGACTGGCTGCCTCCTGCACGCCCTACCCTGGGGATGGAGCCCACAACCCGGGCCTGTGCCCTGACCGGGAGTCAAACCCTAACCTCCGGGTTCACAGGTCGACGTGCAACTGCAGAGCCCGCCAGCCAGGCTCCTGCCCGCTTCCCATGGTTCTTTGCTGTTGAGCTGTAAGGGTTCTGTCTGTGCTGTGCACTGACCCATGGTGTGAGCTGTCAGTGCTCCCCTCCCTGAGCCCTGTCCCATCACTGACGTCTTCTGACAGAGCTTTTCTGTGACTTCACCACAGACGCCGAGATTGCTAGAGGGTGGCCTCCAGCCCCCCCCCCCCCCCCTGCCCGAGTTCTGAAGGACCCAGTTCTGGTGGCTCTCAGCCTGCCCCCTCCCGTGCCAGCACGCTGAGAACCGGGCGGGGTCAGAGCACCCGAGGTGTGCGGACAGCAAAGGTCGCCCGAGGCGCCTCCGAGCTGCCGCTGCCGCCTCTGCCTTCGTGGGGGATTCTTCTGCAAAGCCCTGTTGGGGAGCCCAGAACCCGGGCGTGGCTGTCATCAGGGGCGGGAGGGGCATGGACGGCTAGCCCCACAGGATTCCGGGGAAGAGCAGCCGCTTCCAACCCTTTGTTCCTGCTGAGCTGTGTGCGGCCGGAGGCCACATGCAACCCAATTATAATCATACCCACAGGGAAACGGCGTGTAAATGCCCCGTATGAGGGCCCCTGACCCTGTAGCTGCCTCTCCAGATGTCCCGGCTACGTAGCGGCCACTCCTGACAGGGCCCACTGTCACCTGTGCCCCTGCTCGCTCACGGCTGCTCTGAGTGGGGCCCGACACACCAGGCAGCCCAAAGGGAGCCACCAGCTGCCGGCCACCGGGGCCTCCCCTGTGCTGGCAGGAGGCTGCTCCTCCGTGTCCGTGGCCACCACGGGCCCCTCCAGTGGCTGAGGCCGAAGGGACAGCTGCCCCGGGGACCCCGCCCTCCCCAGGGGGGCTAAGGGGGGCTCGGTTAGGTGAATGGGGCGTGGTCTCAGGAGAAGCAGCTCGCAGCGTCACGAATGGGAACCAGGGGTCACGCACGCAGGGCCCCGAGCTGGGCCGAGGCGGCGGAGGCGGCACAGCCGGACTCACCAGGAAGGAGCAGAGGAAGATGAAGGAGACGAAGTAGAAGTAGGCGAAGTCGCTGCCGCACTCGCTGGCGTTGGCCTGCTCGTCGCACTCCTGGCTGCTGAGGCAGGACAGCATGATCTCGTGCCAGGCCTCCCCGGTGGCGCTCCTGCGGGGGAGGGAGCGTGAGGCCGGGAGGCGCCGACGGCCCGGTCCCTCCCAGAGACCCCATGTGGCCGTCAGGCCTGGGGACCCTCCGGCACCAGACTCCCAACTGCTCATGGCAAGCGACCAAAGAAACCTGAGCACCCCCCATGCCCCCCCATGCCCCCCGAGCCCCCACAGCCCTGGGCCCTCCACTTCCTAGCCCGGCTGCCTGTCCTCCCACCTGCTCATGTGTCCCGCCTCTGCCTCCCTCACCCCGTCCTGCCCACCAGCTGGCCCATCCCCCAGGGCCAGCCTCTCCCCTCCTCCCAGCACCGAGTCATTGCAACGGCTCCAACACCGTCCTGCTCCCCTGCCCAACGCCCAGCGGGGCCCCTAGAGACGGGGCAGATCTTGTCAGTCACGGCGACAGTCCACGTCCACACGACCGCCCACAGCACCCCTCGACCGTGCCCCCCTTCCCCGGCCCTCAACCTGCTCTGGCCACACCAGCCTCCACTGCTCCCTGAACACACCAGGGCCCCTCAAGAAGCCACGGGGAGTGCTGGCTTCTGTTCCTGGGCTCCCCTGGGTGACGCTTCTGCACCCCACTGAGGTGGCCAGGGGTGACACTTCTGCACCCCACTGAGGGGCGCACATCGGGCACAAGGACCAGGAGGAGGAGAGACCAAGGCTTAGAGCCCAGGTGGCCCAGGAGGGACATGAACGAGTCCAATGTCCCAGCCGAAGGCCAGAGGAACGGCGACCTCGGGGTCTTGCTGTGGGAAGCAGAGAGCCAGGGAGAAACTTACCCGCGCAGCGCGGACGGCACCCCGGCCAGTCCCCAGGGCGGCGCCCCCAGCACATCCTGCTCAGGGCCCCCCTTCCTCCTTAGCCTGGGGAGGGGGGGGCGGCTAATAAGGGACTCTCTGGAGGCAGCAAGACACATGCCCTCTCGCCGTGGCCCCTGCGTCTCCCTCAGGCTGGGGGCCCCGCCTAAGAGCAGCGGCAGGCGCCGCACACCTTGGAGGCCTGAGCCCGAAACGCCCTGTGCCCTCAAGGCTCCGCCGGGGGCTCCTGCACCCGCGCCCAGGCCCAGCAGCCCGCCGGTGGGCACAGGACAGGCGCACTCAGACCAGCACGTGCGGGGCCCCGCAGCCTCCGCACCCCAGGAAGGAGCCGTGGGGCTCGCGCACCTGAACAGCAGCATCAGCGCCTGCAGGAAGGTCCGGAAGTTGTTGTGCCGGTTGATGCTGGAGTCGTCGTCCAGGGCGATGTTCCCGAACACCTGGAGGGAGGAGCGGGCTCAGCCCCGGCTGGGGGTGGATCAGGCCCAGTGCGGGGTGGGGGTGGGGGGGCGGCCTCGGCCAGAGCGTGGCCAGGGCCACGGGCTGTCTGTGGGCCGGGCCCCGGTGCGGGGGCGTGGGGGGGGGCGGCCTCGGCTAGAGCTTGGCTGGAGCACAGGGCCCGGAGCCGGCCCCCGCGCACCTGCATGCCGATGATGGCGTAGATGAAGAACAGCATGGCGATCAGGAGGCACACGTAGGGCAGGGCCTGTGGGACACGGAGGCGGGTCAGTGGGCGGGGCAGTGCCCCCCCCCCCCCCGGAGCACACGGGGGCCGCGGGCTGCGCCCACCTTGAAGGACTGCACGAAGGTCCAGAGCAGGATGCGGATGGTGTAGCCCTGGCGCAGCAGCTTGATGAGCCGCGCGGCGCGGAACAGGCGCAGGAAGCTGAGGTTGATGAAGTTGTTCTGGGGGAACAGGGCGGCTCTGACCCGCGGAGCTCGCCTCCCGCCCCGAGCCGCCCCCCCCCCTCCCCGCCGCTGTGGCCGGGCGAGGCGGGCGGCCAGGGAGAGAACCATGAGGTTACCGCGCAGTGGCGGCCCCTTCGGGAAGGACAGCTGTCATCGCCCTCAGAGACCACCCCGGCCCCCGCAGGGACAGTGAGGGGGTCCCTCCCCTCCCCTCAGCACCGAGCCGCAGAGGCAGCCACTCCTCCTGTGGACGGCCCGGGGGTGGGGGTGGGGGTGTGGCTGCTCAGAGGCCTCCTCCCCGCCCTCAGACAGGTCTGGGCCAGGCTCCAGTGGCCTGTCCCTTTCTGGGGGCCAGCGGGGCAGCATGGAGACAGTGCTATGGCCCAGGCGGCTCCTGCGCGCACCCGCCCCACCCCCCCCCCCCCCGCTGTCTGAGGCGGTCAGGCTGGCGGTCCGAGCCAAGGTGAGGGGGAGGGGACTCAGACCGAGGGCGGCAGCATGCAGGCCGGCCACACTCCGGCTGCCTGTCTGGCCAGGGCCATGGGGGATGATGGCATCAGGGGCTTCCAGGGACAGTGGCCCACCCCCTGGCCAGTGCTTCCTGGATCCTCTCCCCTCGGGGCCTGACCCCTAATTCCCAGAGGGGCGGGGGCTCTGCCTCTGCTAGGGGGGGACCACGGCTCCCAGGCCCGGCTTGCGGGAGGGACGGGGCTGCTGGGTGGGATGGCCATCAGCGGGCGAGTAGCCGGCTGTGGTCCAGACCAGCAGGGGGTAGAGTGGAGTCGGGGTGGGACGCTGGGGTGCAGGCTTCCTACGCCCCCTCACTGGCTTAGGGGGGGGAGGTGAGGGGGAGGACCCCAGTGGGGCACAGTGTCAGGGACCCCTCAGGGGCCTGAGGACTCTCAGGGGGGCCAGCCTCCTCCGGAGGTGGACACGGGACGAAGAACTGCGCACAGGCCAGGGCAGCTCAGGGACACGGAAGGGGCAGAATGGCCTGCCTCCTGGGGTCTCCCTCTGAAGCCCCTGCTTGGGGGGCTGGGAGCGGCCAGGGCGGTGGTGACAGGCGCACCTGCCCAGCCTGGAGTGACCTGCTTGGCAGCGGTGGCCCAGACTTCCCAGACACGGGGGACCCGGCTCTGAGGGGAGGGGAGCCCACAGAGGCGGCGGGCTGGTGGCCCAGCTGCTTTGGGAAGAGGCCCTTACCCAGGACTCCGGCCCCACCCCCTCCCAGGCTTCTCTCTTGGGGCTCCGGGGCCCTTGGGGCAGGCGAGTGAGAACAGACAGACAGCCCACGAGCCACGAGGACAGATGGTGACAGCGGCCACGGACACTCAAGCGCGTGTCGGGGATGGCGCTGTGGCTGCCCCGCAGGCTCTGCCAGGCACCGCCACCAGTCGCATGCAGGGCGGGGCAGCCCTCGGCCCCTCCCCATGGCCGTGCACGGTCCCCTCTGGCCTGACATCCCTTGGAAGTGGGCACCCCTCCCACCCTCCGAGTCCATGGCTTCTGTGGCATCCACCCAGGAGCAGCCACACTGACCTGAGCCGGGCCCTGCACTGATGGGGAAGACCATCACCTGGGCGCACCGTCCCGGCCCCCCGGAGCCCCGGCTCCCCCTCTGACACGGAGACCTTTGGAGCCGCTGCCCGTGGGGGCCGTGAGGCGGGGACCACACAGCACCGGCTGGTCACACCCCACAGGCAGGGCTGACCCAGGCCACGGCCAGCGCCCCTGCATCAGCACGTCAGTGCCTCTGGTCAAGGTCACAGCAAAGCCACGGCTGCTGCCCCGAGACCCGTGCACACCTGCTGGCCCCACGCTCGGCTGATGGTGGCGGGAGACGCTGCTGGGAGCAGGGGCTCAGCAACTGGAGCCGAGCCTCTCGGAGCCTCCACTCTGACCGTGGCCTCGTCACGAAGGCCCTCATTTCGGGCAGCACACTATCCGCTGCCTTGCACGCCTGGGCGCTCACAGCCTCGGCGCGGCCTCTCCGATGGTCCTGGAGACCTGGACGGAGGCCTGCCAGCCACCCAGGTGCCCACGGCCTGCCAGCCAAGGGCACGCACGCCCAGGCCAGGGGCGCCCGGGTGACGAGGCCGCCGGGCAGAGCAGCCTCCTGACGTGCCACAGACAACATGGACTCGACCGGGCTCAGCCCAAACCCACGGACCATTCCCGCCCCCTCGGAGCCCCTGCTGACCCAGACCGCACAGCGGCCGGAGAGGAGGCACCGGGCTGCAGCCACACCGGGGAGGGCAGGGCAGGGCAGGGCTAGCAGAACGGACAGCACAGCAAGCGAGGCGGGGGGTGTAAGAACCATGAAAGTCATGAAACCAACCCTTTCCTACATGTGATGTTTTCATGGATGGACATTTGCGAATTATGTACAGATTGAGCAGCAGGCGAGACAGACAGACGCGGGCATGGTTTCGCAGTGGTTGGTTGGATGGCGTGAGTCACAGGCAGGTGGAGGTGAGTCGGGGTCAGACAGAAAACAAAGGAGAGAATGATCAACACGAGCAGAACGCAGGCTCCGGGCGGCACTGGGGCAGCTTCCGGTAAATGGGCATTTTGCTGAAAATGCATCAAAACGCTGGTTTTGAACTTGGTTGATGATGCAGACAGTGGCGTTCATTTGCATCCTATTTGCAATGCAAATTCAAAATGACACACTTATTTTTTGTTTCCAGGCAAAGAAATCAATGCCAGTTTCACGCCCGCGGGGCCCTGGGCAGGGCCATCGCTCTGAGTTGCTTGTTAAGCCGGGGATGGAACTGACACGGACATTTTTGCCGGAGGAAAAACAGTGTGTGCGCCAAGATGAGTGACCACGGATGGAAAGAAAGGCCGCGTGGACGGTGGGCCTCGGGCGGTGCAGAATGGAGCCCACACAGGGGGGCGGGGAGCTCTCCACCACCCCAGCCTCTGGCCTGCAGGTGACAGTGCCCCTCGGGCTTGTGGAAGCAGGGTCTGCCCTTCCACAAGCCGCCCGCCTGCCATCCGCTGGCTCGGGGCGGGCACTGGGCGCTCCAGGCTCTCTTCCGCACCGCCTGCCACCTGTGGCTGGGAGGGAGGCCAGTTTGTCTGTCTGTGCCGCGGCGGGCACCCTGCCTGCCCCTCCCCGCAGCCACTTGGCACCCCTCTCTGCGAGGATGCAGGCGCCCAGGGGGCATTGTCCCTTTATCGGGATTAGATTTCTGAGTCCGAGGAGGGGTCAGCGAGGCCACGGTGCCATCGGTGGGGGAGCAGCCTGGACTGTTGGTTTTGTCAAAAGGGCAGCTTTCACCTTTTTGCCTGGATTACTCAGACCACGAGGTTTTAGAAGCCATAGAACATGTCACACAGAAAAAACTACATATAAATACATGTATGCAGACACGTCCTGAAGAAAAGGAACGACACGCTGGGTGCCGCGCAGGAACGGAGGAGGGCCCTCGTGCCCGGACGGCCTTCCTTCCCGACAGACGGAACCCTGTGGCACCCAGTGCGGCTTCCGGTGGGGCTGGAGCTCTCTGCCTGCTTCACAAAGCAGCCCCCCCCCCCGCCCCCCAAGCCTAAAAGACGTCTGCCCACATTTCCTTCTCAGAGCCGCAAGTCCTGCCTCTTGCCGGCCGGGGTGGCTCTGCAGTTGAGCACAGACCTATGAACCTGGATGTCATGGTTCGATTCCCGGTCAGGACTCAGGCTTGAGGTGCAGGCTTGACACCCAGTGTGGGGCGTGCAGAAGGCAGCGGATCCATGATTCTCTCTCATCATGGATGTTTCTCTCTCTCTCTCTCTCTCCCTCCCTCCCTCCCTTCCTCTCTGAAGTCAATACAAGTACATTTATAAGTCCTGCGTCTTATAATTAAGTCTTTTTGTCATTCTGAAACAGGTTTTTGTGAATGGTGTGAGCCAGGATCCACCGCGTTGCCGGTGATCACTACGGGATGATGGCTGCTCCTCCCACGAGCCTGGCGTTGGCCCTCAGCCCTGTGACCCGTCTGAACCTGGCTGAGCTGCTGGGCGGGGGCTGCGCTCGGTGCGGCGGCAGTGGGAGGTCGGGCCTCACGGGCTGGGGTCGCAGCAGCAGATGGCGTGGGGAAGGGGTGATGGGCACCGCCCAGCTCAGGCCCGTCGGCTGTGGGGCTCCGGCTCCCGCAGCCCTCTCCTCCTGCAGGGTGCCCCCCAATCGATGAGGTGAACACGTGAGACCTCGCTCCCCCACCATCCTGGCCTGGGGCTGGGGACCCGCCTCTCCTGGGGTCTGAGACCTGCCCTGTCTTGGGTTCTAAACCTGGCACTTCCACTCCTCCCCCTCGCCCCACCCCCAGCTCTCTCCGCGGCTGGGTCTGGGTCGGGAACACGTCCCATGCAGTCCCGCTTACAGGAGCCCCCCTCACGCAGCCTCCGGAGAGCCTGCTGTCCACCAGCGCCGAGCGCTGTGCTCAGAAACGCGCTTCCTGGCCCAGCTCAGCGGTCCTCCGGCCCGGCCGGCGCTGGCCACAGCCCCTGTCTGAGAGCCGCTGTCTCGCTTCCCAGGGAAACACACCTGGGCTTCCACAGCCTGAGCTCGTCCGGGCTCTGGGTTGGGTGCTGCCGGCGTGGCCTGAGCCGCCACGGGAGACGTTCGGGGACGTTTCTCATCCAAGAGCCAGCACTTGCCGGCGACACCTGCTCCCCGCTCCGCCCGTGGGCAGCCTCAGAAGAGCCCGGAGCCAGGAGGGCACTTACCGCGATCTCCGTGACCAGAATGTCAGTGATGCTTCCCAGCACGGTGACGAAGTCGAAGACGTTCCAGGCGTCTCGGAAGTAGTTCTAGAGAGAAGGCGGCCAGAGCCCAGTCAGTGCTCCGCCGGGGAGAGGGCGTGGGGGGAAGAGGGGGTGCCAGGAGGGCTTAGTCAGGACGGGCAGGGGACGATGGGCCACCCAGGGGGGCAGCGCAGGCCTGGCATGCAGACACCAGGCTGGGCAGGGGCAGCGCAGAGAGCCACATGGCCGAGGGGAACCTGCCCCCCCCCCCTCCCGGAGCCGGACCGGGCACAGACTCGGGCAGCGGCCCCGCAGGGTCGTCTGTGCTCTGGGCTCGGGAAGCTCCAGCTCCACACAAGGAGCCCCCGGCCCCTCCTGGGACAACACGGCCCCGAGGGAGCGGCACCTACCAGCACCCCGAAGGCGACGATCTTGAGCACACACTCCATGGAGAACATGGACGTGAACACGATGTTCAGGCACTTGAGCATCAGCTCGTACTCGTAGGGCGCGTCGTAGAACTGCGGGGAGGAGGGCGTTGGCCACGGTGTGGCTGCCCGCCCCTCCCCGATGCCCGCGTCCTCCCAGGCTTTCCCGGTCTCCGCCGCAGCCAGCGACAGGCCCGACGGGCGCCCGCGCTGACCGGGCAGAGCCCGCAGCTCCCGCGGACGCACCTTCATCATGAGCACGACGGTGTTGAGGGCGATCATGGCCATGATGAAGTACTCGAAGGGCGGCGACACCACGAAGGTCCACGTCTTGTACTGGAAGGACTGCTTGTTCTGCGGCATGTACCGCGTCAGCGGCCGCGCACTGATGGCGAAGTCGATGCACGCCCTCTGCGGACAAAGCCCCGCCGGCTCAGCGGGACCCGCGCCGACCGCACAGGCAGCCCGTGCGAGGAGGAGGAGGAGGAGGAGGAGGAGGAGGAGGGGGAGGAGGAGGAGGAGGAGGGGGAGGAGGAGGAGGGGGAGGAGGAGGGGTCGACCGCCCAGCGCCCTGCCCTGCCCGCAGGAGCCAGAGGCCCCCCAGCACGGCCGCGGCGGCGCCCACCTCGTTCTTCTCCAGGCTGCACGCGGACATGGCCCTGTCGCCCTGCTCCTGGAAGGTGATGATGATCAGGGCCACGAAGATGTTGACGAAGAAGAAGGGGAAGACCACGAAGTAGACCACGTAGAAGATGGACAGCTCCATGCGGTACCCGGGGCTCGGGCCCTGCTCCTCGTAGGTGGCGTCCACCGAGTGCTTCAGCACCCTGGGGCAGCGAGGGCGTCAGGCCCGGGAAGCCGTCCTCCCGGCAGGCCCCCAGGAAGCCCGGAGACGGCGCTGCCCCCAGGCTCCACCCCTGAGCTCCTTTCCCAGAATGGGGAGCGGCCTGCAGTTCTGCCTGGTGCTCCTCCACGCTCAGTGCTCACCCCGCTCACCCCGCTCACACCCAGCCCACACCCGCTCACACCTGGCCCACACCCGCTCACACCCGGCCCACGCCTGCTCACACCCAGCCCACACCGGCTCACACCCAGCCCACCTGCCCTCTCCCATCCCACACCCGCTCACACCTGGCCCACACCCGCTCACACCCAGCCCACGCCTGCTCACACCCAGCCCACACCCGCTCACACCCAGCCCATGCCTGCTCACACCCAGCCCACCTGCCCTCTCCCATCCCACACCCGCTCACACCTGGCCCACACCCGCTCACACCCAGCCCACACCCGCTCACACCCAGCCCACCTGCCCTCTCCCATCCCACACCCGCTCACACCTGGCCCACACCCGTTCACACCTGGCCCACACCCGCTCACACCCAGCCCACACCCGCTCACACCCAGCCCATGCCTGCTCACACCCAGCCCACCTGCCCTCTCCCATCCCACACCCGCTCACACCCAGCCCACACCCGCTCACACCCGGCCCACCCACTAGCCGGCTCTCCTGCTTCAGGAGCCCGGAGCTCAGCAGAGTTTACGCTGAGAGGTCCCTGCCAGCCAGAGGAGGCCCTGCTGTTGGATGAGAAGGCCCTCTGGCAGCGGAGGCGGCGCAGGGAGACAGGAGAGCTGCCCTCTGGCCCGGCCACCGGACGCTCTCAGACCCCTGGCCTGGCAGCTCCTCTGGAGAGCGGCACCCTCACTGGCAGGAGCCGGCGGGAGCTGTGGGCACCTGCTGAGCGTGAGACCGCACGGAGGACGGAGCCCTCGCCGCACACTCACATGGGCCAGCCTTCCCCCGTGGACACGGTGAACAGCGTGAGCAGCGCCCAGAGCACGTTGTCGTAGTGGAAGTCGTACTTCTTCCACTGCCGCGGCTGGGCCTCCACCTCCTCCCGCTCGTAGTCCAGGTACTGGCCCCTGGGACGACAGGGGGGGGTCAGAGCCAGGCCCCTGGGACCACACAGGGGGGTCAGAGCCAGGCCCCTGGGACCACACAGGGGGGTCAGAGCCAGGCCCCTGGGACCACACAGGGGGGTAGAGCCAGGCCCCTGGGACGACACAGGAGGGCGGGGGTCAGAGCCAGGCCCCTGCGGGGAGCAGCTTCTGAAACGGCCCTGCATGGAGCAGGAGCGGGCTCAGCGATGCATGGCCCGGGACTGTGCGTGTCCACGCGCAGAAGCAGACGCGGGGCCCGGGCACACGCCGCCCTCAGACCCACTCCAAGGGGACAGAGGTCTGACCCTGGAGCCCGTCGGAAACGCTCCGGAGAACACGGGCCTCTGATTGGCAAATGGATCCTTAGACACGGCGCCAACATGGCGGCAGCAACAGCAGACCCAGACACAGGCCGGCACCGAGCTTGGAGCCCTGGGCCTCACAGACAATCACTCTGGGCAGGAGCCTCCAGACCAGTCAACGCCCACTGCGGCCACTCCCGCGTGTTCCTTTACTCTCTTCTGTGGGCTTTGGGAGGGAGAGAGAGGGGGAGGGGGGAGGAAGGGGAGGGGAGAGAGAGGAAAGAGGGGAGAGGGAGGGGAGAAGGGAAGGGGGGAGAGGGAAGGGGAGAGGAGAGGGGGAAAGGGGGAGGGGGGAGGGGAAGGGGAGAAAGAAGGGAAAGGGGAGAGGAAGGGGAGAAGGGAGAAGGAGGGGAGAGGGGGAGGGGAGAGAGAGGGGAGAGGGGGAAAAGGGGAGGGGGGGAGCACGGAGCGGCTGCCTCCTGGGCGCACCCCAGCTAGTGCAGGGGCCCATCCAGCGGAGTCATGAGGACAAGCACCGCGGGTGGAGCGGCGAGGGTGTGAGGAGACCTTCGCGAAGGAGGCCCAGGCCAGCACTTGCCCCAGGGAGAGCGAGGCAAAGCCAGACACCGCCCTGCAGCCTGGAGGACAGAACTGGTTCCTTCCGGAAGGAAAACTGTGCGTGGAAGGTCCTGGAGACCCCGGCAGGGAGCAGCCTGGCACCACCCCCCCGACCCGGTCACAGAGCCCCAGGTGGCCCGCAGCCACTCCCCTCCTGGTGCCCGCCCCGGGGACTGAGGACATCGTCCCCGTTCCTGGCCGAGCAGTTCCCGGCCGAGGCGGACACGGCCCCCGGTGAGAGAGCAGAGGCGGCCCGGCCATAGGGCGGGACCCGACAGCAGGGCCGGCCTCGGGAACACACCGCCGGAGCCTGCGAGTCCCAGTGTCCCGACCCCACACACACACACACACACACACACACACACACACACACACACAGCACGCGGGGCTGTGCAGGCGCCCACGGGCCGGGCCCTGCGGGTTTTAGCTGGGAAACGCTCTCCCGGGCGAGTGAGGGTGCCCCTGCCGCACCCGGGCCCACGCCTCGTGCACAGCAGGGTGAGCTCCACGGCTCGGTGGCGGGGAGAGGCCGCCTTCTCCAGGAACGTGCTGCTCAGACGGAAAGCCCGCCCTCCCCCTCCCCGGCGGCAGCGCCAGCCCAAAGGCGGCCACGTGAGGGGCAGGCGCGGCTTTCAGGGGAGCCCAGGCTGCCGACCCGGCCACGGAGCACTGGACGCCGGGAATGCACGGCACATGCCACCCGCACCCTAACATGCCAAGAGCCAGAGCTGGCAGAGGAGTCCTACCCAGGGATTAAGGAACTCCCACAAACCAGCCAGGGAGACAGGCACAGGTGCAGCCCCCGGAGGGACATGCCAACTCGCCCAGAGACTCACCTCGCGTGCCTGGCGCCAGGAAGGCCCAAGCAAGACGCCCGCCAGCATGGCGGGTGGGCTCGGGCCACGTCCCTGGCGGTGTGAGTTTACACATCACCTGTGTGCTCCAGCACACACACAGCCCACACTGCGGTGCCCACCCCCGCGTCCCTGGCCAAGGCCCTGAGCCAAGGCCCTGAGCAGCCATGAGATCAGAAGTGGGACCGCCCGCAACAACAACTGGTGAGATTGCAAGTGGGTCCCGCCCCTCAACAACCATTGGCTGAGGTTGGAAGTGGGTCCCGCCCCTCAACAACCATTGGCTGAGGTTGGAATTACACCCCACCCCTCCTGCATCTCCAAATGAGCACCCGGTCCACGCAGGCACTGCCCTTCCTGCCAAACCGCATTCACATTCCCGCTCAGCTCCACGGAAACAGGAGCTCACAGTGTTGCTGCGTTGAGCTGCCACACTTGGGCAGCTTGCTGTGCAGCATTAGGTCACCAACTCGACGGTGGAGGACCGAGAACGGTGCCTGTCAGGTATTCCTTGCTAAACACATCAATGAACAGAAAGAAAGTAAATTCTAAGAGGAGGACTGACTACTCCAAACCTCCTTCAGGTTAAGGCAGCAGACAAGTCAATTACAGAAACACAGATCTCTCTGAACAACCCCACCTTTAGGCCCAGCCCCTTTGACTGGTCTCCACCTCCTCCTCACTGCTCATGCCCACTCTGCCCTCAAGGACAGGGGGCAACTGTGTCGTCCTAAAGCACTTTACCACCCCAGCCCCGCCTTCCTCCTTCTCGCAGGGGGCACTATGTGTCACCCTCTCACTGCTCAGACTGTGGGAAGGAAATCACAGCCTGTGTCCGGTGGAGACCCTGGCACACTCCCCAGGATGCTGGTGACAAGGCCAGCATCACCGGGATCCATGGATGAATGGTGTCGGTATCATGTGCCCTGACTCTGTGCAATGCGCATGCTCCAAACTTGGGCTCTTCCCCAAACCCCAGTGTGTTATGAGGAAAACATCGGAGAATCCAAAAGGCATCCTTCAAAACACAGGACCAGTACTGCCTCCGACAGCCCAGGTGGCCCTGCGAGGCGGGGCTGAAAGGCTTGGAAAAGACACACAGACAATGAAAGCTGGGTCTCGGTGGGATGCTGCTTCCTGAGAGACAGCGCCAAAGCACACAGCCGAGTCTTTATTTTGTAGCAGATGCCAGGAGGGAAAGTAAGGACTTGGTCAAGGTGTTGACAGCCTTCTCAAGGTTTCGACCCTACTCAATTACATGCACCTGATCCAACTGTTTACCTGCAGCCTATATCGCTCAGGCACGTGGGGCCACGTGTTCGGACCATACGCTCAAGCTTACAAGTCTAGCTGTTGACTGTCATTGTGCTGGGAGGCTCTGCCCTCCAAGCTGGGACTTGCACGTGGCCACGAGAGGACTGGGTCCTCTCATTAGTCCCGGTCTTGAACCTGTCCAAATGCTGTAGCCCCTCTCCACACGGCACCCTCCAAGCTAGCCAAGTTCATTAAAAACAAGGACCACTGAGACACTGCACAGAGGGGGCTTAACGCAGTGCGGGGTTCCGGGTAGATCCTCCAACAGCAGCGGGGTCTTAGTGAAAGACTAGGAAAACACTTCTACAGTCCAGTTCAAGCACTGCACCAGCTTTCACTGCTTAGTGAAGTGGGACCAGCCCCTCAACAATCATTGGGTGAGGTTGAAAGTGGGTCCTGCCCTTATACTACCATTGGGTGAAGTTGGAAGTGGGTCCCGCCTCTCAACAACCATAGGGTGATGTTGTATGTGGGTCACACCCCTCAACTACCATTGAGATTGGGTGAGACCGCCCCTCAACAATCATTGGGTGAGGTGGGATGTGAGTCCCGCCCCTCAACAATCATTGGGTGATTTTTGAAATGTGTCCCGCCCCTTGACGTGAGCCCACCACATGCCTGGCCCACAGCTTGTGAGCAAGGGTGGGCCACACAGACAAGTGGGACCGTGGCTGTGGCGAGGAGGGAGCTGGCGCAGCCCTACACAGCACCCACACAGGAGCGCCCCGCTTCCCCTACTTCTGAGGGCGCCCCCCGTGAGACGCCTGACCTGAGCCTGGCCTGGTCCTGGGTTTGCAGAACCTCCGGCATCTGCCTGGGAGCTCCCTGCATGTTGGCTCCCCACGTGCTGGTCCCCACCCTGGAGCCCCGTGTGGCCCAGGGACAGGTGCACAACCCACCCGTGTGTGCCCCCACGCCCCTCCCGAGCCCTCACAGCTGGCCCTGCCCTCCCCCACCCCCCGCCCGGTCACCTGCAGTCCCGCTCCAGCTCCTTGGACTCGTCCGTGCAGTAGAAGAACTTGCCCTTGAACAGCTGCACGGCGATGACGGCGAAGATGAACATGAAGAGCATGTACACGATGAGGATGTTGAGCACGTTCTTGAGCGAGTTCACCACGCAGTCGAACACGGCCTGGGGGCGGGCAGGCTCAGCACCGGGCCGGCGGGCGGGACTCAGCCAGCTGCCCGCCTCGGGACCCCTCGGGAGGGAGGGGTTGTCTCTGATGTGTCAAGTGGTTGGTGGGGCCAGGAGAGGAGTCACCAGGCAGGTGCCTCAGAGCAGGGGCCTGACCCCTCACGTCAGGACTGGCCCAGGGGGCAGGGAGGGACCCGGGCCTGCTGGTGTCGGCAGGACACGCAGGCAGAGAAGCAGCCACGGTGTGTCAGCCTGGCCCGGCACGTGGGCATGCTCTATGGCCGCCGGCCTGGCCCAGCCCCGCCTCTGAGTGGCCGTCAGCCTGCCCTGCCCTAGTGTGCTGGGGCCGGTCCATAGCGGCTCCCAGACACCGCCAGGCCCCCCTGCAGCACCCCAGGCACCTCCCGACACAGCCCTCCGGCTGCCTCCTCACCCCCCAGCCTGCTCTCGGCAAGCTGCCCCATAACCCATGCAGCCTGTCTCCCCAAGCTCGCACCCCAAGCTGCTCACAACACCTTACGCACAGGTTGGGGGGTGAGAGGGCTGTAAGCACAGAGCACCCTCCTTCACCCCGCACCTCAGCCACCACCTGGGCCTGCCCTGCCCCGCCAACACCCTCCGCCTCCGGCCTGTCTCCCGGCAGCCCAGCCAAGGGCCCCGCAGCGGGAAACGCCAGGCCTGCCGCTCCACAGGAACTGGACGGAGCCCACGGCACCGCGGGAATGGCCCTCATGGGGCGTCAGACTGGAGAGGGCCCATCCCCCACGTGGTGTGGTCTGTTCTCAGGTGGGGCTCCCTCAGCTCTGCTCACCCCACCTCACGCAGAAGCCGCCGCAGGATGTGGCCAGCGTGCACACACACACAGGACACATGTGCCCTGGCACGCACAGCCCACGTGCACGCACCTCACGCCCCTGGCTCTCACCTTGAGCTTGGGCAGCCGCTTGATGGTCTTGAGCGGCCGCAGGACGCGCAGCACCCGCAGGGACTTGATGGTGTTGATGTCCTTCCCTTTGGAGCCTCTGGAAGGAGAGCCGACATGCAGGCGGCAGGCCGCACCCGGCGCTGTGCCCACGCAGCCGCCAGGCCGGGCCGCTCCCCCCCCCCCGTGTCTGTCGTGGCCTAGGGCAGAGGCCTGATGGGCACCACGGAGGCCTCCCCGAGGGGGACAAGGGCTGGGGCAGCAGCACCTGGAGCCAGGAAGCACCTGCTCCCCCAGCACTTCATCGCCCGCACGCCCGGCCCACACGGCTGCCCCCTGGCCCTGGGAGCAGCCCTGGGAGTGAGGGGGGAGGGTAGCACAGGGGCCAGTGGGCACGGTGCCACCCCAGCTCCCGAAGGCTGCTTCCTCTCCAGAGGAGGTCCCTGGACAGCCTGGCTCTCCCTGACTGGCGAGTGGCAGCCGCTGACAGCGAGGGAGAGGAGGAGCCGGGAGGGAGGGAAGGACAGAGAGAGAAATCGGGGAGAAGAGGAAGAGAGAGGGGAGGCCGGGCCAGCGTGGCTCAGGCCGGGCCGGCAGCCACCAGTTCAATGCCCAGTCGGGGCAGTTGCCCAGGTTGTGGGCTCCATCCCCAGTGTGGGGTGTGTAGGAGGCAGCTGATCCATGATTCTCTCATCGTTAATGTTTCTCTCCCTCTCTGAAATCAATAAAAATGTATTTAAAAAAAAGAAAGGGGGGAGAAGGGAAGAAGGGAGAGGGGGAGAGGGGAGAGAGGGGAGGCGAAGAGCCACAGGAGACAGTGAAGACAGCGGCTCAGATGAAGAAAGCAGCCGGGAGGGGAGGAGGAGGCGGAGAGCAGGCCAGGCCCCTCGGAGGGCACTGGGGCTCCCGCAGGCGGGCCACGGGCCCAGGCGCTGTCACTCTCGGGGCCGCCCTCCTGCCACCCTGAAGCCAGGCAGGGGCCTCGGGAGGCCATGCTCAGGGCCAAGGCCACTCCCACTGGGGCCGCAGGGGCAGGCTGAGGCTCAGGGGCCGCTTCTCCCCACGCCCAGGGGACCTGCGTGTGGGGGAGCGGGGCCCCAGTCTCCTTAGGGTACAGCCAAGCTAGAGCCTCCCAGCCCGCCCCCAGGACCCCGCTCGGGCCTGTGTTTCGGAAGCAGATCAACACCCCTGAACCCAGGCTGTCCCGGCCTCTGCATGCTGCCTGCTCCTCCCCTCACCCTCGCCCGGACCCTCCCCAAACCAGCCTGGCAGCTCCCGCTGAGCCAGCCAGGAGGGACCCCTGGGGGGCGGGCAGGCAAGGGTCCTGCCTTGTTTCCTAGGAAACGGATGCTCTCTCTGGAGGCTCTCCCTCAGGGGTGCCTGGCTGGGTCTCCCTGCCCCTCCCTCACTCCCAGTTCCCCCTGACACTGCGCCCTCCTCCGTAGAGAGAGGCGGTAAGGGCCCAGGAGGGAGTGGGGGTGTCGGGGGTGGGCCTGCAGGGCCAGGAGGAGACCGAGATCCGGAGAACAGACGGGGCACGGGACCCCCGCCTGGTCACCGGCAGCCCCTTCGGAGCCGCCCTCGGGTCCCGTTCCCGGCCTCCTACACTCACTGGGACATGCTCCTGACCCCCGAGGCCCGGCCCACCCAGCCCCCAGCTCGCCCCGGCCGGCGGGCACAGCCTGGGACCGGCTCCGGCAGCATGCACCCGGAGCGGGGTGAGCTGATGAGAGGTGAGCGTATGGCGCGGAGAGCGTATGACGCGGTGAGCACGGTGAGCGTATGACGCGCCCGAGGGCGGCTGAGATGTGAGATGTGGGTGGTGTGGGGGGACAGGGGGAGGCATTACCCCATGAAGCTCCTACAACAGGGAGTCCGGCACCAAGGAGACAAAGAGAAGAGAGTCAGTGAGGAGGCCTGGCTGGCCAGAGGAGGGCCTGCCCGGTGCCTGCGGGTCATTCGGTCTCGGCATCTCCTGCCACCACTCGCCCTGGGACCCCAGCTCCCCCCGACCCCACACCTGCCTGTGCCCAGGCCCAGCCACCGCCAGGCTGAGCCTCACTCGCTGGAACCAGAGAAAGAAGCCTGGAACCCTGGGACGCGCCCACCAGCACCCAGCTCCGCCTGCAGGAGCCGCCATGCCCAGGGCGGCCGGAGGCGGAGGCGGCCCCACTGTAGAACCAGGGCCGAGTCAGGGACGCGCCGGCCAGAGGTCCCTCCCCCCCAGCCCGGGCTGAGCAGAGGACGGAGCTACGGCAGCCCGGAGGCCAGCGCCCCCCACACCCCACCGCGCCTCAGGGGGCTGCGGGCGTGGGTACTTACGAGAAGGCAAACGCCACCAGGGCCCCACTGACCACAATGAAGTCCAGAATGTTCCACAGGTCCCGGAAGTAGGCCCCTGGGTGCAGCAGCAGTCCCAGGTCGATCATCTTCAGGGAAGCAGTGCAGTTCAGGGCGGTTACTTCAGGGAGAGGGCAGGGCAGACCCAGAGCCTCGGGGTGGGGAAGGGGGCCCAGGTCTCGTCCCCCAGCCCGACGCCCGAAGCAGGGACCCTGGTGGGGAGTGCAGGGCGCTCTCCCCGCTGACACGGCGCGGAGTCTGTAGTGAGCAACGCCCCCCGAGTCCACACGTGCGGGTCCCCGAGGGGAGGCTGGCCCGCACCTTTATCACCATCTCGAAGGTGAAGACGCCAGTGAAGATGTAGTCCATGTACTTCAGCACCTGCCACCAGAGGGCGCTCTCAGGAGGCCAGCCCGCAGCTGGGCGTCCAGGGGCTCCAGGTGTCTCCCCCTCTCCCTCCCCCGCCCACCTGGACCCCGGGGCGGACAACCCGTCAGCCAGGGCCGTGGCTGAGGGCCTGGGGAGAGGCACGGGCACAGCTGCCCCCCTCCTGCCACCCGCGCCCGGGCTCACGTTGTTGCGGGGCGAGTCGGCGCGCACGGGGTCCTCGGCGGCCAGGGCGATGCTGCTCAGCGCGATGACCACGAGGATGACCATCTCGAAGTAGCGCATGGTCACGATGGAGTGGCAGAGGCGCCGGAGCCTGGGGGGGAGAGGGGCTCAGCGGGCCCTCCCGCCGCCCGCTCGGTCTCCGGCAGGAAGCGGGCTGTGAGGGCGGGTGCGGCCCCGGAGGCGTCCCGGGGGTGGGGGGGGGGGGCTGCTGCTCTGATGGGGAGAGCCCTGGACACGGGGCCCAGGCTGAGCGGGACGATGGGAGACTCGGAAGCTGGTGACACCGCGGCACAGCCGGGCAGGCCGAGGTGGGAGGCCGCCCTGGGTACCTGAGGCCGAGCAGGTGACCAGACGGAGCCCCGGCTGGCACCTCACCCGCGGCGCCCCAGCACCCAGCGGCCGTGTGCGTGTGGGCTGGGGCGAGGGCGTGGCACGGGGGGCGCACTCACAGGTTGGTGGGGCTGAGGCAGAACATGGAGCTGTAGGGCACGATGGGCCGGGGGCCACTCCGCATCGCACCGTCCGCCTCCATCTCCTTGCCCTCCGCCTGGCTCTCCAGGTCCACGGCGCCACCTGCAGGAAGGGCCGCCAGGTGAGGGCTCCGTGGCCGGGAAGGCGTGTGGTGAGAGCCAGCGCCCTGCACCCGGGCTGACCGCGGGCCTGAGGACGGCCAGGCCGAGCCGCACGGGCCCGCAGACCCCTCTCTAAACTGCTGGGCGGCTCGCGGCCTGGGGTTCTCTCTCAGGCCCCCCCAGACCGGCCGGACCCAGCACCGCCCCTCGGGGAGGCTCCCACACGCCAGGCTGCTGCAGGTTCTGTCGCCCACACCTCTGCTTTCCCACCTCAGCGTGTGCACCCTCACGTCCAGCCCGTCCCGCGGGCAGCACTCTTCCCCAGCTCGCCATGCCCATGGCTGGACACAGCTCACCAACGGAGGAAAAGGGACTCGCCATAACTGACACGTCACAGATCGAAAACCGAGAGTGAACAGAGGGTGTGCGTGTGCATGCGTGTACATGTGTGTGCATGTGTGTGAGTGTGTGCGTGACTGTGCGCGAGTGTGCGTGAGTGTGCATGCGTGAGTGTGCGTGTGTGCGCTTGAGTGTGTATGCGTGTGTGTGCGTGAGTGTGCGTGTGCGTGAGTGTGTGCATGTGCGTGTGTGTGTGCACATGTGCACACTGGATGAGGCTTCCTGTCCGCGAGAGGGGGAGTGGGAGGAGAGGGGGGAGTGGAGGAGTGGGGGGAGAGGGGGAGTGGGAGGAGAGGGGGGAGTGGAGGATTGGGGAGAGTGGGGGAGTGGGAGGAGAGGGGGAGTGGGAGGAGAGGGGGGAGTGGGAGGAGTAGGAGGAGAGGGAGAGTGGGAGGAGAGGGGGAGTGGGAGGAGAGGGAGGAGAGGGGGAGTGGAGGAGTGGGGGGAGTGGAGAAGTGGGAGGAGAGGGGGAGTGGGGGGAGTGGGAGGAGAGGGGGAGTGGGGGGAGTGGGGAAGTGGGGGGAGTGGGAGGAGAGGGGGGAGTGGGAGGAGTGGAGGAGTGGGGGGAGTGGGGGAGTGGGGGGAGAGGGGGAGAGGGAGGAGTGGGAGGAGAGGGGGAGAAGGGGGAGAGGGGGAGAGGGGGAGTGGGAGGAGAGGGGAGGGTAAAGGAGGTCTCCTAGGCCCACAGGCGCCCAGATTGCATGTGCTGCCGATGCTGCCAGGCTTGCTTTGCTCTGTCTGTGTCTGTGTCTGTCTGTCCCGCTTACAGAGGCAGAGCTCCTGCCTCGCTGGCTCTCACCCTGCTCCTCCTGCGGGGCGGCGGCTCTTCCTTGATGAAGTCTGAGCCAGTGCCACCTGGGGAGGCCCCCAGGGCGCCAGGGGAGGGTCTGAGAGCCGCCAGGGGCAGCCCTGGACCAGTGAGTGAGAGCACTGTCTGCGGGGCGGGGAGGGTGGGGAGGGGTGGGGGGAGGGGGGAAGGTGGGGGCCACATGAACCCCCTCAGCTGCCACCCAGGGCGGGCGCGGAGGGTGACCACTAACAGCCGGACAGAAGTCACTGCCTCTGAGCTGCCAGAGGGGAGCACAGTGGTGACCACAGATACACAAGCTGCTGCTCAATATGGACCCGAAGGAGGTGGAGCCGTGTCACACCCACGGGGACGGAGGAAACCCGGGCAGATGAGTCATCACAGGCCTCTGAGCGGCCAGGACCGGCGGGACCAGCCTCGGAGGCCCAGCTCCAGGCCTGGACCGGAGGCAAGCTGGCGGACACGCGCGGAGGCTGCGAGCCGGCGGCGGAGGGCGCCCGGAGCACAGGACGCTCAGGCGGACTCCGGCCCGAGAGCTCGGCGGCTCCCGAGACGCCGTTTCACACGCGCAGAACACAGTGCGGGTTTGAGGAGGAAGAAAAGGAAGAGCCTGGAAAGGCATCAGAAACGCCATGGCGACCACGGAAAACAGCCCTCTGTCTGGCACGGGCATCCTGCTCCGAGCTGACGTCTCAGCTGTTCACAGCTCCACCGCCCTGACCGCACAGCCGCCGGAGGCTCGCACCCTCCTCCCGGCCGGCGGCACGGCTGTTCGCAGGGCAGGGGACGGCCGGAGACCAGGATGAAAAGCCGTGTCCCCAAGAGCAGAGCAAACACGTTCCTTCCGAGCTCCCGGGACATCACAGACGCGGACCGTGTGCTCAGGCAGCAGCTCTCAGTGAGTCTCCGAGAGCCGCCGCGGAGGCGGAGAGGGACTTCCTGTCCTTCTCCGTCCGAAGTCCCTCTCCGTCCTTCCGGCTGCACCGCTGACCACGTTCCCAGGAGCCGGCTCAACGGAGCCAACAAGCAAGTTCACGGCCGCTGCGCCGTGTGCAGAGCCGAGAGCCGCCACAGCCACGCCGAAGAGCCACTGGAGCCCCACGGCCGAGTCCCGAGGGACAGCGCACGCACACTGGCCAGCCGAGGACTGGACCCTCACCCTCTGAACTTCCGGCGCCTGGTGCGGCGCCTGGTGCGTCTGGGAACTCACCGCGCCCTCTGCAGAACAGGGAAGCGGGTCCGAGTACCTGAAGGCCTGATGTCACCGCTCGGACCAGCCCAGGGGCCAAGGATGCAGGACCAGCTCTGCCCCTGAGACGCTCCGCGCTCCTGCTTCTTCCCAACGCCCTGTGTCTGCAGTCTTAAGACCCTGAGTAAATGCCTGTCAGTCATTCCAGAGAAGCAGCCTGACTCCTGTGCACTCAGTGGACAGCACATACGGGGTCCCTACGACCACGGATTCCGGGGTCACACTGGACAGCGAGGCTTCCTCGCCATTCCAGACGGCAGGCCGGGGCTTCAGAGGGACAGAGGCAGCTCACGAGCAGACAGGGCGTGGACATGCAGACAGAACACGCTGGGACCCCAGCCAACTGGGCAGAGAGGGTCTCGTCGCTACCGCGGGCGGCGTGTTCTGGGCAGACGGGCCTCCCACACACAGCTCATGTTCGCCAACCACCGTGCAGTCACGTGAGAAACCAGAGCAGTTATCAGAAACAGAAAAGGTTAATTAAGGTTCAAATCTCACAACTGAAAATGGAAAAGCAAACTTTAAAGTTCACGTGTCAAAAATTATATTCAGTGGCGGTGTGACTATTTACATAGAAAACAAATAATCTACAGGAAATTACTCAGAGTAACAAGAGAGACTGGGAACTCTGGCTGGATAAAAACCTGCTTATGTTTCTATACAATAGGAGCCAACAACTAGAAACGTAATTCTTTAAAAAGATTATCATTTTAAAGACAGAATTCACGAAGTAGGAAGACAGGGATTCTGGGCAGTGAACCCGCTCCGTCGATTGTAACAGTAGATACGAACCATTACACACCGGTCCCGGCCCACAGCACCCACATCCGGAGCCGCCTCACACCGGCTGTGGGCTCCGGAGGCGGCGGGTGGCGGTGTGGGCACACTGGATCTAACGGGCGCACTGCCTGCAGGTGCTGCTGGTGAGGAGGCTGCCCACAGGCGGAGCCTGGCAGGGGCCACGGCAAAGCTCTGGCAGGTCCTGCTCACCGTGACAGGAACCTAGAACTTTTCTAAAAAAGTAACAAGACACACATTTCCAGGATAAGACCAAAGAGACACAAATACAAAATCTAATAATTAAAATAATTTCCAAAATACAGAAAGAATGCGTACAACTCAACAAAAGGAAGACAAATATTCCATTAAAAAACGGGCAAAGGACCTGAACAGACACTCTCCGCGGAGGACATACAGATACCAAGAGAAACGAGCCAGGCATGTTCACCATCACGCATGGTCGGAGAGGCACAGAGAGCCACGATGAGATCGCCTCACACCGCCAGAACGGCTGCCATCCATGAGCCAACAAACAGCAGAGCAGGAGTGTGTGGAGCAGGGAGCCCTGAGCATGCACATCAGGACTACGTTCTAACCGACTGAGCTACCGGCCAGGACGGAATGAGTTTTCAAAAGGATCAGAAAGTCAAATAAAAAAAGGGGCAAGGT